TGCAAAGAGTCAGACACGACTTAGCGACTAAACCACCATCACATATTCTCTGCAAAAGAAAAAAAAACTAAGTCATTGTTGTTTGCTTTTAGAGCAAAGTAAGAACTGTCTCAGGCTACACTGGAGCTTTCCTAGCTTGACAAACGCTAAGGCCATGGAGCGGCTAGCTTTCCATTCCACATGAATTAATAATGGACTTCACACAACATTCCCGGCAGAGATGGTCCAGCATACCAAGGTTCATGTTCCTCAGGCTTGGAATGTGTAACTCCTCCATGAGCTACATTCTGCTGTGTGAAGCTCTATTTTGGGACTAGGTTGCTTCTTTATATAGAAACCAGTACCCTTGTCGAATCAAGTGAGTACATGAGTCATTTGTGCATTTCCTAAAAGCGATCGCATCACGTTTTTCTCATCTGCTATCCATTTTCTTTTTTAATCAGAAGGGAGATGCATTAACAAGGCAAATATCTTGGTGCAAATCCTAACCTCTCACAGAGTTCTGTTGGAATGAAAATGTTTTCTTCTTTTTTGGCAGTGACTGAATTTCAAGCTTGTTTAAGAAATGATCACATCATGATTTATATTTCATGAACCAAGTAACTTACCTATCTCGGCTAACCTGGGGCCCATTTCTACAATTCACAGTATGACCTGCGATATTTTAGACACTCCTGAATGGCCTGAGCCAGAGATGCTAATTAGGGCTTAGAAAGTATGTGATGGTTCCTGTGATTTTGAGAGCTAATTAAAGAAGTGAGAATCCGTAGCTTTGGCCCCAAACAAGACTTCAGTCCTGTTAATTCCACCGTATAGGTGATCTTGGAATGAAGGCAAGTAGAAGTTTGTTCTCTCATAACATGGGTGGATATTTATGAGGTTTTAATTTCCTTTTAGCTTCTCACCTTATGCTTAGAAGCTGAGGCTGTGGGGAGAGGTTTTGCTTTCTCTGCAAAGACAAATAAGGATGACTATAGTGTTCTGAGGTGACCTTTTAAGCACCCTAAGGAAAGTTAGAGGGCAAATATTAGGTGTGTCCAATCTGCTTAGGAATTTGGAACCAATGATTCTACTAAACAATTGGCTCAATTGTCTGATTCTTTCTGAACCGTTTCTTCTTATGTTTATCACCTGATCTTAGAATCCTGTCAATATCCCAAAAGCATCACTCCTACAGGATCAATTCTTATTCCTCTTTGCTCCTTAGTCTTCTGGGCAAATGATGGGTTGGAGAGAGAAGGGGCAGGATCCTTGCATGCTTGCAGGATTCTTTGCGCTGGGGAAAAGAAGAAGAAAACGATCTCAGAGAAAATTAACAGTGTCCAGTGCCAATATTGCAAGACTTTTCATTTAACTAAGGGAGCCCGAATCATGGCTTTATTGATAATGCAGTCCTGGAACTAACAACATGCAGTCCTAATAATTAGTAATTAATGCACTCAGTTCCTAATGCTCAATGTTTTAAAAGGCTTTGGGAAAATGCACCCTGTGAGTTTTCTTACTTTCCATGAAAACACAGTGGAAATTCACTAGCTGCTCCAAGTAATGTTTAAAACTTGAATATATTCTGAGCATTGTCATCAGTGTGTGTGTGCTGAGTTGCTTTCATGTTCGACTCTTTGCAACCCTATGGACTGTAGCCTGCCAGGCTCTTCTGTTTGTGGGATTCTCCAGGCAAGAATATTGAAGTGGGTTGCCATTCCCTTCTCCAGGGGATCTTCCTGACCCAGGGATTGAACCCGCATCTCTTATGTCTCCTGCATTGGCAGGCGGGTTCCTTACCACTAGCGCCACCTGGGAAGCCCCACTGTCATCAGATTACTTATCAAATAGGTCTTCTATGTTGCCAGAAAAAAACAACGTAGGCTTTAAGATATAAATCATTGAGAGGAGAAGAAAATCTCCAGTTTTGCCCTGAAGGACAAGGAGGATTATCTCCACTTTTTCTCTTACCTTCACTTTACACACTACATTGAAGTAGAGAAAGAGAGTGGAGGAAATCTTCCAGAATAAGAAAGATAAGATCTGGTAGAGCAGCAAGGGATTATAATTGCAGAACACTAGTTCTTCTTTCTCCCTGAGTGTGGAAAGGGGGGTGGGGAGTGTGGGTCATTCGCTACCATAGAAACTAACCAAGGTATGTAGAGGGGAGGGAAGGCCCATTGGAGGAACTTAAAGATCTTAACTTTTTTCAATGTTATATTGTTCTGGTCAATAGGTAATCCTTCTAATGGCGAGAGGTATGTGTATGTGTGCCTGTATCCTTTTTATTTGATTTCCAATCTGCCTTCCCTCTTTTGTCTCTTGGGCTGAGTTATCCTTTCAGTCCAGCCTCTGCTAAAGAGAAGGTTGACAATTTAAAAAAATCATGTGCCCCCACTGTGTCCCAGGCATGACTCCCTGCAGTGGAATGCACAGAACTGCAAGACATTCAACACACAGTGCACAGGGCCATTGGGCAAAAACCCTCTATTACACTTACTTCCATCTGGTGCTATTTCCACACTTAGAAAGCTCTTGGAAAACGAGTAGCTCAAAATGAATTCTCTCCCCTCTTTCATCCAGATGCTGTTTCTGAGCCATAGTTCTTAATTTTTAAAATAGAATGATTGAAAGGCTCTTACAAGCCATCCTCAGTGAAGATGCAGGAGACTCGCCTCCAGTGGGTGTTTCTTGTTCCTTTAGGCAAGCACCTTTCCTTTTCTCTTGCTCAGTCCTTTAGCCCTTTCCAAATACCATGGAAGGCTTAGGAGCAATGGATCAGATGTTTGGAAAGCTGGTGGGGATGTCAGCATCTGCTTTTCAGGAAGGAGGATCTGTTCCCCTTGTCCCCGAATCTGGGTGGGTTCTGGGACGGACCAATGTAGCTGAAGTGATGCCGTGCCAGTTGCCATGCACAGGCCTTAAGAGATCGACAGCTTCTGCTCCTTCCGTAGAACACTCCTGCTAAAGGAAGCCACCCGCCGTGCTGTGAGCGAGCCTGAGCTAACCACACTGAGAGGCAAGACAGAGACACTGGCCAGTCCCCAGCTGTTTCAGCCATGTCAGCTGAAACGCAGAGATGTCAGTGAAGAAGCCATTTCAGACGTCCAGCCCAGATGAGGCTTCAGATGACTCCAGCCCAGCTGCCATCTGACTGCAACAACACGAGATACCCCAAGGGAGAACCACCAAGCTGAGCACAGCCAGCCACAGAACTGTGAGACATGAAGGCTGGGGGTGGTTTACTCAGCAGTAACGGAAAACTGCAATGGGAAGTAACGATGGCATCCACCTTTCAGGACCATCACGAAGGAAAAAGGAGATTTTTGCTTGTTAAATCCCTAACCTGAAGCCGGGAATAAAACAAGCCTTCAAGCTACATCAATTCTCCTGCTCCTTCCTCTTCATTTATATTAATTCTTTGTGTTTCTGAGAAGGGGTAACGCTTAGTGTCATGGTCTGAGGCAGGGTGGGGTGGAGGTAGGTAGGCTCTTTGCTTGATATTTGGAATCTGAAGAGCTTTTCCCCATCTTTTTCTTCTTCCTTTCCTTCCTGTGTTCTTTAAAGCACAGTCAGATCGTTTAGACCTAAAATAAGAATACCAAATTCAGCCTTTGTGTTTCAGACAGAAAAATCATAGGCTTGGTACAGGCTCATGGTACTGAAAAATCAAGCTCCAGAAGCTAAAATGATTCAAAGCAAATTTCCCCTTGACAACTTTTGTATGTCTCTGTGTGTGTGTGTATAAAAACCAGTGAAACAAAAACTTTATAGAGTACACAATTATTTTACCATGTAAGCATGATAGAATTATCACCTTTTTTTGGAGGGGGGAGTGGGTTAAAAAGTACATGGTTACCTGTAATTACAGTCTTCCTAAATTTGATTTTATGGCAAAAAAAAAAAAAGGCACATTTCTTTGGAGTGTCTATGAACAGCAAAATTCAAGTTTGAGTCAAACCATACAGAAAAACATAGTGCATTTTGGATATATCTTTTCCCTTCAGACTCAAATGGCTGAATTTCTGTCATTCTTGATACCTCCCTAGAAGCCAATCTTTCCGTATATTTATGGCTAAGGTTGTGTGTCTTGCTAATTATGTTGCCTTTTCTAGCAGACTTGCTGCCAAGCAACTTGAGATTACTCTCCTTTTTTGTCCTTGAGTTCCTGCAAACACCTAAACCGTGACAGGCCAGAGAGTTCATCTCAGCGTCTGAACTGGGTCAGCATCATAAATTCTGTCACATACCTGGTCAGTGAAGTCAAGGTTGGAAGGGAGAGTTGAACTAGATGCCTGATGTGTAGATAAGGGAATTGGTTTACTTTACTTTTACGTTTTATCCTTTAATGTGGGTGTGGACACAGGGCCATGGTATTTACTCTCATATACCTCTAGGATAAAAGCCTCTGGAAGATTTGGGGGCCGGCAAGGTTGGGGGGTAGTGAGGAGATGGGGTGAGATGGGGGGATGGGTAGGCGGTCAGCCTGAGTGTCTGGTGACATTGTGCAGCAGTTCCAGCTACAGAACGTTGCTTGCATGGGGGATGCAGATGCCTTTCCTTGGTGAGGATGTGAGGGGTTGGAGCTTGGGATTTTATGAGCGCAAACTGGCATCAAGTCACTTAACTGACCTTGCCATTCCTCATAACCAGAGACTAAATTCAGATGCTGTTTGCCTCCCAATCTGGTCAGTATCCCGTGACAGCTGGGGCAACCGTTTCTTTCCTTTTCACAGCTCCTGGAGGAGGTGTGATGTGTGTGAGGCGCTAGAAAGCTTGTTCTATAATTACTTCTAGATTTGCCTCTGGGTGTGCTGTACACGCACCAGACCATATGTGTGTTCACGTGAGCTTATCATTCGGCCAAGAAGAGGTAGAACAAGAAGGGTGACTTTATTTCCCACCCCTCAACCCGCCAAAGTCAACGTCAAAGTGGGAGTGGGTACAGGGTCCTTTAACAGACTGCCATTGTAGTCAAATCTGTGACCTGGGATGCCGCCCCAGAGGCACCCGAGTCAATGTCTTCCGAATGTAGTGGACAAGCGCGCAGCTGGACATCCAGAAGAGAGACCCCGAGCGCTCACACCCTCGCGGCCCCGGCCTCCCGGGCGCAGGTTCCCCGTGGGTGGGCGGGGCTGGGCCCAGAGATCCGCAGGCCGCCGGGAATAGGCGGGCGGGCTGGGCATCCGGGCGGGTGCAGATGCCTAGGAAAGCTCATGCGGGACCGGGGCGCCGCTCCTGTGGGCAGGCAGGCAGACAGGCTGCAGACATCTCTCCACCGCCGATCCCAGACCCAGCCCCTCTTCCCGGAACCGAGGCGCCCCCAACCCCACAGCCACAGCATCTGCTCCGTGTCGGCGCAGCGGGACCTAGGCCCGCGCCCGGCGCTGTTGTCCCCGGCGCCCGCCGTTGGCTGCGCGGTCGCCTCCAGTCCCCGTTGCCCCCTCCCAGGCTGCCTGCCCCATTTCCCCCGCGCCTCACGGGGCCCCGCACTGGCTCCGAGAGACCCCAGGGGCGCGGTGCGCGCGGAGCGGCGCCGTGGGCGGGGCCTCGCGCAGGACGCCCCGGGATTGGCCGCGGGAAGCAAGGGGTGGGGCCAGTCGCGGAGAAAACAGCGCGCGCGCAATCCGGCTGCAGTCCCAGCCCGGAGCCTGAGCCTGCACTAGTTGGCCGCCGCGTCCTCTCCGGTGCTTTTTCTCCCCCCCACCCCCCCACCCCTTTCTTTTTCAACCGCGGAGTCCTCTGCCTGGTCCTCCCGCCGCTGTCGCGCAGTGCGATCCTCTTCCTGCCCTGCAGGTCCCGTTCCCCGCGGTGAAGTCCCGGCTGAAGCGGCGATGCGCCTCATTCAGAACATGTGCACCATCGCCGAGTACCCCGCCCAGGGCAGCGCAGCCGCAGCCGATTGCTGCCTGGGGGCCGCGGGCCGCCGCCTGGTCAAGATTGCCGTGGTGGGCGCCAGTGGCGTGGGCAAGACTGGTGAGTCCTCGCGCTCCGGCGAGAACCCGCTCAACTCTCGGTCTGGAGTTCGGCTGCCCCCGCAGGCAGTTGCGACTAAAGCGGGCTTGGGGTAGAGATTGGAGCTGCAACCGGACCTCCCACCCTCTCCTATTGATCCGCGATCCCTCGGGAAGGACCTTAGACAGCTTCGTTTCCACTCCCCCCTCCTTCATCAGATGAGGGAAACAAACTGATCCTAAATGGCTTGACGGCCCTCTACACAACCGACACAACTGGGATTCGAAGTTTCGGGGTTTTGAGCCCCTGGCACAGGAAGGGGAGGTAGTGAATGTAACCCTTCTTGAAGCTCTTTAAGGTTAGGAAAGACGTTTGTCTGCGGGCAGGCTTAGGTGTGGCTCGGCCGGGCTCGGAGAGTGGGGGTGGGCCAAATGACCCTTCCAGCTGGACAGAGCCGTAATTCACAATGCCTCCTAGCCCCTCGCCGTTGTGTCTGGAAGTAGGGTCAGGGCGCTGCAGGGTAGGAATTTCACTTGGTGGCTGGGTTTCCCTGAGAGTTGTTTTTTAGGGTGGGGGTTGGGGGAGGGAGACCAGTCTACCTTCTCGTGCCAAGGCTAAGCCCCTTTCCTTTCTCTTTTCTCACCTGCAGCTCTCGTGGTCCGGTTCCTCACCAAACGATTCATCGGCGACTATGAAAGAAACGCAGGTGAGGAAATGTATTTGAAGAAAGTGCTCTCAGCCTGCACTAGTACTGCTGTTCTCATTTTTTAAGTGTCTACCAGGCAGGTTCCTTCAGAGTGACAGCCAGAGCACCGGGATCCTGCCACTTCCAACTTTCCTAGCCCCCTCCTGTGTGGCCCCCGCCCCTTCCCATAACTGCCATCTGGCCTCATTCCATTCCAAGCCCATTCATCATTTTATCAAGTGCCTGAAAGTATTCTCCTTGGTATGTTTTAACTATAGGGACCCCAGTTGGAAGCACCCTTTGTACTCAAGAGCCTCTCCCTTCAAAACACTCCTGCAAAAGTCATAAAAAAGAAAAAAGAAAAAAAAAGATGGCCAGCGCCTACCCCCACCCCTCGCCTTCTCTGTTGGCTCCCTTTCAGAGGTGACCTTTTAAAGCAGAGGCCAAAGGAGCGCAGTTGTAAACCTAAAGTTCTCTTTTCTTAACAAAGAAAAATAACTACATGGTAAAATTCTAGGAGGAGAGTTCCTGAATAAATGATTGGACATCCTTTCAATCCCTGTGATTAAGGCTATCCACTGGGGAGGCCTAAGGGCTTTCTACCTATGCTCGGCTAGCAAATTGCTTAAGTCCTTAGACCATATGAAGTACCTACAGGGGATTACTTCACATGTACTCTATAAACCATCCCCAGATAAGGCATGGCAGCCTTCTGCTTTGATGTAGAGTCAGCTATGTTATGTTACAATTTTATTCCAATTGATGATGTTGGCTGTGAATTTACTGACAAGATCTGCCCACTAAGCCATTATATCTAATGGCTAAAATATAAATTGGTGCCAAAGAGTGATGAGTATGAAAATAGAACAAGAACAATTTTTTCCAAGAAAATTCTCTAAACATGTAAGTTTTGTTTAAAATTAGGCAATTAAGTTTCCAAGAATGTAACAAGCTTTGTCCTGGTTTTAATAAACCTGCCTATGCAGGGTTGAAACTGCAGTTGTTTTAAAAAAAACATCTGAAATAAGTCCATTAAATAGAATAGACTATAGCTGATTTTGTGCATTGGTTCAGGTTATAATTTCTAGGTAAAAACTATCCTACAATTTTTTGTTCCTCCCTACAATGTTTTAAAAGTTGTATAAGAAGGAAGGACATAATCTTTTTTTCCCCCCCTTTGTAGGTAATCTCTATACTAGACAAGTCCAAATAGAAGGTGAAACCCTGGCTATTCAGGTTCAAGACACTCCAGGTATTCAGGTGAGTGTCTGAGATATGTGACTAAGTCTAAGGGGAGTCTGCTTGGCCGCAGAATTATTCTCCTGTTTTCAAAGTACCTTGTGCCGAAGAAGGAAAGAAACCTGGGGAGTCAAGTCTAGGCTTTTATATATTGCTTGACACTTCAGTTGTATCTGGCTGTTGATCAGTCTTAGCCTAGATGGGAGACTTGGCTAAAGGGGCAGAAATCTTCTAGGACGATTTTACTCAGCAGGAAAGACCAAACCAAACACACTTGGATTTGGCAGAATGCCCGTGGTAGGGTTTAAAAGGTCAGTTTTTACATTTATGTTTTTGGCATTAAAAATCAAACATCTAGGTATCGTCTCCAAATCCTCAGACTCACTCTTACACTGTAGAAAGTTACTCTATAGACAAAGAGCCATGCTAGTGTGTGTGTGTGTTTTCCCTCTTGAACTGGGCAGTTATCCAGGTTTAAATGCTTCCAGCTCCTATCTTTACTTCCCCAGACTTACTGTCTAGCCAGTTAATTTCCCATTTTGTGCAACTACAAAGTCTCTCTCTGCATGGAGTTCTCTGCAGGTCAATTTTCCACTTGAGTGTGGTGAGCTGCTCTGTTATTTATTCCAGCTCCATGCAGCTGGATCAACATATTGTCGAGAAAGCTGAAGTGTGGGGGGACGGACTTGTTGACGGCCTGCAACCTGGTGTTCTTGCCCAAGACTCTTTTGAATGCTCTGTAGCTGAGCCAGGGCTCTCTCTGGCCCTTGCCCTTCATCTCGCTCTCGCCTGTCTCTTCCAGGTCCACGAGAACGGCCTGAGCTGCAGCGAGCAGCTGAACAGGTGCATCCGCTGGGCGGACGCCGTGGTGATCGTCTTCTCCATCACTGACTACAAGAGCTATGAGCTCACCAGCCAGCTCCACCAGCATGTGCAGCAGCTGCACCTGGGCACCCGGCTGCCCGTGGTGGTCGTGGCCAACAAGGCTGACCTGCTGCATGTCAAGCAGGTGGACCCTCAGCTCGGACTGCAGCTGGCCAGCGTGCTGGGCTGCTCCTTCTATGAGGTGTCCGTCAGCGAGAATGACAACGACGTCTACAACGCTTTCCATGTGCTGTGCAAGGAAGTGAGTCACAAACAACAGCCCAGTGGTACGCCGGAGAAGAGACGGACCTCCCTCATCCCTCGGCCCAAGTCCCCCAACATGCAGGACCTGAAGAGGAGGTTCAAGCAAGCCCTCTCGGCCAAAGTCAGGACTGTCACCTCCGTCTGAAGCCGGGCTGCTTGAGGGGGTTTGGTCTTCCCGGGAAGGGGTCCGGGGTGATGCAGGAATGTTGGACGCTGGCGGTTACTTGTGGTCCCAGGAAGGGCTGGAGCGGAGAGGCCAGGAGGGCCTGTTGAACCGCTCCAGGAGAGGAAGTGTTGTCCTGAGCAGGGGGACAGAACTGATGCGGCGTGAACGAGCCACCTCTGATGATGCCAAACAGCCTCCACGGCTTTCCCTCTGGAGCAGGGAGGGGTTGGGTGATGGCTTGGGATTTTGTTAACTACCTTGTAAATGACAGTCAGTTGTAGATTCACCCAATATATTGATGTGATTTACAGTGGGAATGAAAGAACAGATTAAGCATTCACAGGCTTTCCTTTTTTTCTTCTTCTTTCTTTTTCTCCCCCCAAGAGAAAGAATTGATTTTTTAATACAAGTATGTGTCTCTGGAATACTCTTCCTTATAGAATGACTTTCAAACCTGAAGGATATTCAGATTTCTTTCTTTTTTTTTTTTTTAAGAAAAAGAAGAAAATGCTACCTCCACCCTACTAGAAAGAGTGGAGTTTATGGGCCGAATGTTATATATGCAGACATGTGTAAGCTTCTGGGCTCAGACACAGTATGAGGATGCTGAGTTGGGAAAGTGTTGGCTGGTTGAGAGCACAAACTCTTCAGCCCCAGACTTTTGAGTAATTGTGAGGCTGTATAATTTTTTTTTTTTTCAGATTGTTTCTTCAGGTACAGAAAAACAAAATGTGTCCAGTTAATTTTGGTGTGATTTGTGTAAACACAGCAATGACGCCGGGTTTTTCCAGACCTGGCCGAGTTGTGGCTTAACTGTGGAAACACTATATTACAGCAAGTGAACAGATGCAGGGGCGACTGCCGAATCCCCGACACAGATGCACTTTAAAAAGCCACTCAAGCTTTGGCTTAAACTGTAATTAATTTATTTTATGTACAATAAAGCTCATTTTAAAAGGGCAGACATCTGACTTGGTCTTGATTGAAATGTTCGTCTTTTGTCCTTCAGACTGTATGTCTCGCACCTAGTGTTTCTCAGGCACGTCGAACGGGCATTCTGCCTTCCTGGGATGAGCCCTGGAGTCTCCCAACAAACCACTGAGGTGCATTCTATTCTTATCCCTGTTTTACAGATGAGGAAACAAACTTGAAAACAAGTTAGATAACTTGTCAAAGGCCCTGGCCTTTGAGCTTGTAAATTCTGGTTTGCTGCTGTCTAGTCAAGAGTAAAACATCTATTCATTTCCTTCCTGATCCTCCAGGGAAACCTAAGACAGATGCCTGGGTTTATATTTTAAGCTGATAAGAGATATCCTGGCTAAGCCATGGAAGATCATGCTCTTACACAAGACCACTGCTTATTATTTGCCCTATCTGGCGAGCCTTCATTGGGTATGCCGCTTTCGAAAAGTCACATTTTTCTCATGTTGTAGAAACTCACAGCCATTGATGCGGGGCGGTTCAGGAACCCCTTCCTGTGGCACCTGCCCCAGGTGACATGCTAAAACTCTCATCTGCTTCCACTGGGCCAGGGAGAACTTTCATACAAGCCAGGTGAGTCACCACCTTTACGGGCAAATAATTACACCTTGTATTTGAGAGTGCTTTCACATATCTGATCTCATGTAACCCTCAGGATAACCCTGTGGGGAGGGCAGGGGAGGAAATATCACTGTTTCTACAGGTGAAAGAAACAGGCCCGGAGTTTAGAGTGATGTCCTTGAGTTCACAGAAAGGGCATGAATCAATATCTTCTGACTATATTCAATGTTCTTACTCCTTCACAGCATTTCATATGCGGGCCACTGCTGCATGTGTGGGGCCTCGGGCCTGAGGGAAGCAGCCATAATGAAGAGCTGGGGGTCGACTCTGGGACGACGCCAGACTCTCAGATCTGTTTTCCCACAGGGTGAATGTCCTGCCTGCTCTTGACAGGGCTTCTGGCTATGCCCTACAGCTTCCTTAGGTGGAGGGCAGTTTTCTACACTTCAAGCCTAACCTACCCTCTAAGGAAGTATTGGGGACAGGGAGGGAATGGCGCTCCTGGGAGATTCTAAAAGTATCTCCTCTCAAACGCAGTGACAAGGATCTCTGACTAGATTCTGCTCACGTTTGGTTTTATTCATCCTATGTGGCTATATTAGTAATGTCCAGTGACTGAGCGGCTCATCTTTATATACTTAACAATGGTCTTCTGACCATGTCCTGGAAATAAAGATGAGTTTTCCCCGGGGCTTTATCTTGCAGTGGTGCAGAACAGTGCTGGACATCCTCTGTTTGTGAGCGGTGCCCCGCTGCCTCCCTGTCCATCCCACCTGCTCCAGGAATCTGCAGCGCTCGGGCAGAGCTCCTCCCTCGAGAGCTGGCCTTCCTGACCTCCTGGCACTTCTCCATTGCCCCTCACTCCCCACTGCACTGGACTCGGTGTCAAACTTCCTTTTAGAAATTCGGGCTTAAGAGTCTCAGGGTTCTCATCCATCCTGGGGATAATGCTTTGCTGGAGGCCACTCTGGAAGAGAGGGATTGACCCCTGGCTGGAAACCACCTGCGTTCCATTCCTGTCCACTGTCTCAGGCTGACTTGACTATTTACAGTTCTAGAGTACACCATGGTTTGTTCTCACGAATTTATCTTCCTATTTCATTACCTTTGTTCCTCTCTTTCATGATATCTCTGAATCCCTTGTTTGTTTTTAGTATCTGATCTGCAATCACGTGGCACCGAGGATGGTCCCCTCCTACCTATGTAGGGGATGGCCTCCCTGCCACCTGGGTAGAAGCGGGGAGAGGTGTGTGTGTGTTCAGGGGAGTGAAGAAAGGAATCGGAATTACTGAGCACTTACAGTATGCCAGACTACAATCCATCTCCTTTAATCTTCTGAAGAATCCTGCAAGGAAGGTAATGATAGCACTTCCAGTTTAAAGATGAGAAAACTGAGAGTCGGGGAGATGAAAGCTGGGATCACACAGCCAGTCGTTGTTTCTCTTGACTGAAAACCTACGTCCCCAGCACTGGAGGGGGATTTGAAATAACTTTCATTCTCCACACCAACCCCACAGTCCATCTTTAGTCCCTTCTACAGACGCAGAGAAGGGAGGCTCAGAAAAATGAGCTCCTAAGTGGCAGATTCAGATTCAAGACTCCACCCAGGTCTGCCTGACGCCCAGACGCCAGGCAGCCAGCTCAGGACTTGGCAGCTCCGGCCCCTCTAAGCAAGCTACCACTGCCTTTCTGTCTCTGGCTTGCAGAGGCGGGTCCTGCCCGTCCTGGCCCCGTGCTCTTCATCAGGCTTGCCTTAGCGTCCTTGTTGCTAGCCCCAGCTCGTGGCTCTTCCCTGGCCCGGGCCTGCCTGGCTGCCAAGGCCACATCTGCTCTTGCCATTAGCCAGCTGCTCACTGGCCTCCAGTCCCAGTTCAGTAATAAAGACATCCAGGCTGGAGCGGGGGCCAGCACGGCCCACAGCCCGTCTGCCTCAGCACCGGATCCTCGTCTGTAGAGATGTCTGGCTTCTAAGCTTCCTCCCTGCTGCAAATCAAAACCATCCGAACACTCTACAGCCGGCCTGGCACTGAGTCGTGGGCTGAGGTGGCTGAATGCTCCTGGCCTGGGGCTCCCTGTCAGCACCTGGCCACCACCCTGCCCGAATCCCCGGTTCCCGAGCTGCGGGCCTGCCTGCAGTGAGCCCCTCGTGCTGGTGAAAAGTGAGATTTCAACATTCACTTTATACCCTGTGGAGGATAAAGCTGTTGCTCAAGCTTGTGGTGAAATCCCTTAGGAATGAGCCCTTGGGTAACTCCGGTGTGGGGTGGCGGTGTGGGGCTGCCCCGCCGAGTCTCTGCTGGTAAGTCAGCATGGTACTTGGAAAAGGCCACTAGGAGTTACAGAGCTTTATCTGTTACAATAAACAAACCAGGAGTGAAAACCCACCCTGCTCAACGCCTCTGGCTAGCTGTGTTAGGGATGGGATCCTCCCACAGCAGCCCTCTCACAAGGTGGGGACTGCTCATTATTACCACCTGGAGTTTACGGACGGGGGCACCGAGGCCTGAGGATCACACTGCTGCGAGTGGCCAGCCGAGACTCAAACCCAGACAAGGCTAGGAGCTCTGTTCTATCCACCGCGGCTTCACAGGATGCCAAGAGCACAGTTGTTCCCTGCACCCCCCACCCCATCCTCCACCCAGGGCCAGATGTGCTACTTCTGGAGTCCCTGCTCTTTCCTTATCCGCTGAAGGCGCTTCGCAGGACTGACGCCGAGTCTTCATTTTGCTCCTGCTTTTCATTCAGGGAGCAGCACCCTGTCCTGTCCCTCCGACCTTTTTGTTCAAAGCAAACTCTGGTCACTACGATCTTCTTTCAGCTCACCTTTCCTCCAGAGCCTTCTTGGATGTCTGTCTGATGTCTGCCTAGCTCAGTTTCTACAACTGGTGACCCCAGAGATGGAAAAAGATGATTATAAGCTAAACTTTTGATGTCCCCCCCCCACCCACACACACACACTCAGAGACTGCCTTTGGCTATATTTAATCTAGTATTGTGAGCATTTGGGGAACACAGTAACTGATGATGGGTAACATTTACAATCAGAAACTTCCTTTGTTTACCCCTTCAGATTAGAAGGTTTGGAATATTCTTTTTATACAAGAGAAAATCAACTTGTAAAAATACATTAAAGGCCCAAGAGTAATATGTCAATACATTTACTGTGAAAATATTCAAATGACACAAATATATTGAGAGTGAGGCATTACCTTTTCCTAGTCCTCCTATAATAGACTCCTTCCCAGAGGGAACTGCTTGTTAGCAGTTTGAGTTTTGTATTTCCTGAAAGTTTCCTTTGCATATAGACATATGGTTTAAAACTTAACCTTGAGCAGATCCTCTCACAGGGCCCAGGCATCAGGAAAAGCACCAGATGGTCGTTCTGTGAGAAACATGGAGTCCAGGATGAGCCTCCTTCCCCGCTGTGGCCTGGAACGTTGGGGAGTGCCTGGCACGTGCCACTGGGGAGTTGGGAATGAATGAGTGATCAAATGAATACAGACTGGAGACCCACAACAGGTTACTTATTTACTTTATTAATGAATTAGTTAATTTATTGGCCGTGCTTAGTTCCCTGACCAGGGATTGAGCCCAGACCACTGCAGGGAAAATGTTCTAACCACTGGACTGCCAGGGAATTCAAGAGGTTATTTACTCATTTTTAAAAAGAGTGATCTTTGCTTTAATGATCATTTCTTTGGGGCTATCTGCCATTTTCTCCCTTACTCAATTTCAAACTTCTGAGTAGAATGAATGAAGCATCTGGGGTCTCCAGTATTTCAGTACCATGAAAGAACCAGTGTTAGGTGGAAAACATACTTGGACAAAATAAAGAAGGTCGGGGTCAAGAAAACCTGCTTTGATGACATCTCAAAATGATTTCCAACTTTACAGTTTTCTCATAAAATGGTAGTGTTTGGCAGAGAACTATAAGTAGAGACACATTTTGGTTTACATTTTATTTCTTCTACCTGTTTAATTCACACTAGTCATTGTTTTTCAGCTTTCCCTCTTTATTATAAACATCTTGTAGAGACGCTAGAAATTTCCATCAGCTACACACCTACACATGCATGGGTTCCTAGAGGTTCCTTTCTGCTGGAATTCTTATACAATTCCACTCTGTGGGTCTAGGCTTCTCTGTTATAGCTAGAAGGAAGACTAAGATTCACAGAAAAGAAAGAAGTAGAAATGTGTAATCAGTAGAAATGTGAAATCATAAGTCATAAGGGGTAGGGTTCCAACCTAGACCTCCTGGACCAGATATCTTTATTGGGGCCTTCCTCTGGGAGGAGAGGAAAACTTTTATGAGCAGTCACAGTGCTCCAATCAACCTCTCCCCCACTCCTGTTCTAGGCAGGCTGGCAGCCCTGCCCAGTAAGCAGACAGGAACAATGCAGCTCTTTGTAAAGGCAGGAGATTTACAACAGAGGCAGACGATCGCACTGCCCTACCACCCCCCTCCTTTCCTCCCCTGTTCAGAAATGTCTCAGATCAAGAGAGAAACAAAGCCTCAGATCACATTTGCAATGTTCCCTCCTCAGCTACATTATCTTGAAAACCAAACTTTCCTGATACCCATGATTCTAAAGCATGTCTAACTTCTCCTAGAGCAACTGCAGATCAAACGGCTTGTAATCTACCAACACTCATCGACAGGCACTTGTTTAGAATGAACAAACGTGCAGGTGGAATCAGAAAGATCACAGACAGAGGGGTAAGGATAAACAGGCATTATCATGAATTAGGCCAGCTGAAAGGCAGTTTGATACCTTTAGAAAAATGATTAAAAAAAAAAATCTCAGCAATACTTCACTGTGTGGTTACGAAGATCCTTTGGGCAACATTTAGTCATAACCATGATTAGTAACAGGGAGACTGGTCTGGGAGGCATTGGATGGAGACAGATAACAGTACTGCGGTTTCCAGCTCAGGTAGGGCTCATCTTCTTGGGAGACGCTTAGAAGCCAAGGTCTGGATGCAGCCGGTCAGTCGCAAACAACAGCTCAGGGATGTTAAGTGGCTTTAGGAGTCGCGTGGACAGCACGATTACCTGACAATGGGAGGGGCAAACACATTGCAGACAATTAGGAGAGCCAATCCCAGCTTATTAGGTAACAAGAAATAAAATGCAACACACTTCTTTGAGGGGAAGGCATACAGTAGATGCTGTGGAGGAAAAGGCAGAAGGCAGCCACTGGAACACCACTGGGTTCTCGAGTCCCAGGTGGAAGGAGGGGAACGCAGGCTGGGAAGGGCAGCTTGCAGGACGGGGGGCTGCATCTGCTGAGCCTTCGGCCAGTGGGCACTGGGCAGGGCCAAGCCTAGCCACTACCTCGCTGCTTAGTTGCACTCAATCAGACCTTTGCTTTGTGATCTGGTAATCTGAACTCCACAAAGGGGTCCCTCTCTCCTCCAGGGAGGCTTTGCTCCTTCAGGGAAAGAGAGAAGGCATACTCAAGAGCCGCATGTTGCTGTGGGTGAGAATGATGATGATGACTGTATCTATCTCCTAGTACCCATTTCAATGACAGAAAGCCGTCATCTCACAGCTCGGGAGGTCAGAAGTCCAAGATGAAGGTGTTGGTAGGTTGGCTCCGTCTGCGAGGGAGACCTTCCCTCTTAAGCTTCCTTACGTCTTCACCCTGTCTTCCCTCTACAAGTCTGTCTCTGCGTCTCTCTTTCCCCTTTGATAAGGACACAGTCGTAGAGGATTACAGCTTACCCTAACGACCTCATCTTTTTTTTTTAATTAATTATTTTAGTTGGAGGCCAATTACTTTACAATATTGTGGTGGTTTTTGCCATACATTCACATGAATCAGCCATGGGTGTACATGTGTCCCTCCGTCCCGAACCCCGCTTCCACCTCCCCCATCCCATCTCTCTGGGATGTCTCAGTACACTGGCTTTGAGTGCCCTCTTTCATGCATCGAACTTGGACTGGTTAATGACCTCATCTTAATTGTGCTCAGTTGCTCAGCTGGCCAGGCTCCTCTGTCCACAGAATTTTCCAGGCAAGAATACTGGAGCAAGTTGCCATTTCCTACTCCAGGGGAATCTTCCTGACCCAGGGATGGAACCCTGCATCTCCTACATGTCCTGCATTGGCAGGCGGGTTCTTTACCACTAGCACCACCTGGGAAGCCCTTCATCTAAACTGATCATCTGCAAAGACCTATTTTCAAATAAGGCCACATTCATAGGTACGAGGGGTTTGGACTTTAACATCTTGTGGGAGGGGACACATTTCCACCCATGACAATGATGATAATAATGATGATATCTGCTAATACTTATTAGTTATTTTTTTATGATGTGCCAGGCACAGAGGATGCTCTCATTTAATATCCATTTAATCTTCATAACAACCCTATTTGCAGATATGGAAAATGAAAAGCAGAAAGATTAAGTAATTTGACCAAGGACACACAGGAAGAAGCTGAATCAGGATTCCAACCCAGGCAGGCTGACTCCAGTGTCCAAGTGCCTGTTGGGTCATTTCTCCATTATCAAGGGCTCTGGGAAGGCTGCTTACTCTCTGAGTCCATATGGACACTTGGGCCTCTCTGGCCTGTTGTCATGGTATGCCCCTTCTGCTTCCCCAAGATTTAGCTGTTCCTGGGGGGCAGAGTTCCCTCTGAAGCACTGGGAGAGTGCGTTCCCAGGGCTGGGCTGTGGCAGCGATGTGCTCTGCCCATCTGGTGAGGTTCTCCCAGGCAGGGGTTTTACACCCAGATGACGAGGGAAGTGAGGAAGGAGGCGCTGGAGGCAGATTCTGGAGCCCAGCCCCTGAGAGCAGGGGTCCCAGGCGGCCAGCTGGCCTGGGCTTTAAGGGGTCACACCACCTGGCTGGGTCTCTCAGTGGGGAGCAAGAGACTCACTCACTCTCTTCCCCTTCCACACCCCCATATGGTGCTAGGTAGAATGAAACCAATAAATCAACCAATTCGCTGGCCAAAAACAGAGCCTACTCTCTTATGTGGAGGACAAGCAGAGGGAAGGGAGGAGAGAAGAAAGCGTTTTAGAATTTTCTTGTTCTCAGTATTAAAAAGTTTTCCGTTTAAAACAAAAATTAACCTTTGAAAGCAGTGATTACTTTTTATTTTGAAAGAGAATTATCCTTGAAAATATATGGTTAATATCAGTCAAGTCACATTTTTGGCAGAAGTACACTGCAGCCTGTGCTCACGTTTTTCCTTGAAAGCCATGTGATGAGAGTTTGGGGGCAGAGAGTGAACGTTAGCATCCTCTTATCACACGGTGTAGACACCATTGGAATATGTGGCTCTGGAGAGGGTCTCTACTCACCCCTCAGGGTCTTCGAGACCAAGCCCAACAGATAGTTGAGAATGGTGGTACCCAGACCAGCAGGCTCATCAGACGCTAGCAGAGCCACGGCTGATCGGCTATGTACCCTGGGGAAGGTCGTTTGGCTTGTGGCCTCACTTTATCCATCCCAGGAGAAAAACAAAGCCGGCAGAATCGTGAAAAGGATGACCCAAGTATGACCCAAGGTGAAGACCGTAAAGTGCACAAGGCGCCCAGCACTGCGGAGCTGCCGTTTCACTGTGATTGTGTGGTTGGGTCATGGCGGTTTAGTCACTAAGTCGGGTCCAGCTCTTTAGACGCTATGGACTGTAGCCCACCAGGCTCCTCTGTCCATGTGATTCTTCAGGCAGGAATACTGGAGTGGGTAGCCATTGCCTTCTCCAGGGAATCATCTTGACCAAAGGATTGAATCTGGGTCTCCTGCATCGCAGGCAGATTCTTTACATTTTGAGCCACCAGGGAAGACCAGGCTTCCTTTTGAATATCATGAAAGTTAAGAACGCTCTAGAAAAATACATGTATGTTCATATACACAAGACTTTGAACATAGTTTCAGGTGAGGTTTGTGGCTAACAAGGATTCGTAGACCACAGGTTGTGCTGTGTTTAGTCGCTCAGTCATGTCTGAATCTTTGTGACCCCATGGACTAGAGCCTGTCAGGCTCCTCTGTCCATGGGGATTCTTCAGGCAAGAAGACTGGAATGGGGAGCCATGCCATCCTCCAGGGGATCTTCCCAACCCAAGGACTGAACCCAGGTCTCCCACATTGCAGGCGGATTCTTTACCATCTGAGCCTCCAGGGAAGCCCAGACCACAAGTTAAAAGACCCTTATTCAGATATTTCTAAAAGAGCACACATAAACACAAGACTCCTTTGCACGAGAGTTGACTCTTGTGAAGTGCAGGAGGACAGGTAGCTAGGCCACAGGCCCCTCCCTTGCCCTGTGCTTGCCAGACCCCACCACCTGGGGTAGATGGTGCTAACCACCATGGTGAGACCATGCTAACCCCTGGGGTCCTTAGCTCCAAAGCCAAAACTGCAGATTCCTCTCTGGCTCAGGTGAGGGCAAGTGGAGTGGCTAGAGTGAGTCTCTGAGGATGCGCACGTCTCATGAACATGGTAGAAGAACTGGGAGGGAAAGGCTGTGGCTCGGTTGATGTGCAGACTTCCAGGGCGGTGACAACTAAGCCCAAAGAATCCTCCACTCTCAGGGCGGAGGCTGGGCTTCCACTCATGGCCGACGGACTGCTGGCCATCATCTGCTCTGAGCCGGCACCAAGGACCGGGACCCTGTCACAACCAGACAAGCGGGTATTTGGCAAGAGGGCTGAACCAGAGGACGTCTGGGGTGTGTGTTCCGGAGGGTTGGAAAGAAACAGATGGGAAACAACGGCAGTCTGTGAAGTCACTGAGAGGTGCCAGTGTCATCAGGAGGGAGGACGTGGAGACCAAGGATTCCCGCCGCTGGTCCAGCGGATCAGATCACAGCCTCAGCAGTGTCCCGTGTGAGTGCGGCCGCAGTTGGCCACCTGCCAGACGGCAGACCTGGAGAATTTGCTGGATCACTCTGAGCCTCAAGTTCTTCGTCTGTGAAGTGGAAATAATAACATCCACCTCACATGACCAACATAACGGTCAAATGTGAACATAGATATAAAATATTCAGCACAATGACAGGCCCTGGAGGGGCTTAAAATGGTGCCTGCTATTATCATCTTCATTAGCACCACCACCTTCACCAGCCTCATCCTCTGCTGCGTTCCCTCCCTTCAGCGAAGAGCAGTCACTGGGCTGATGCAGGGGAGGGGGATGTGCCAGAGACGCCTTCCTCATGTGTAAGTCTGATAGCATTTACTCCCAGGCTGCAAATCCTGACTGCCTTCCTCCACCCTTTCTAAGCTTGACCCACTGCTGCAGAACAGAATAAAAAAAGAAGAATGAAAGAATTGAGGACAGTCTAATGGACCTCTGGGACAACATTAAAGGCATCAACATTCACATTATAGGGGTCCCAGGAGGAGAAGAGAGAGAGAAAGGGCCTGAGAAAATATCTGAAAAGATTGTAGCCAAAAACTTTCCTAATATGGGAAAGGAAATAGTCACTCAAGTCCAAGAACCAGAGTGTCCCATACAGGATAAACTGAAGGAAGAACACACCAAAACACAAATTAATCAAGCTGGCAAAATTTAAAGACAAAGAGAAAAATATTAAAAGCAACAAGGGAACAGCAACAAACAGCATACAAGAGAATCCCCATAAGGTGATCAGCTGATTCTTCAGCAGAAACTCTGCAGGATGGAAGGAATCGCACAATATATTTAAAGTGATGAAAGGGAAAAACCTACAACCAAGAATACTTTACCCAAAGGCTTGATCAGACCCAACAGGGAAATCAAAAGTTTTCTAGATAAGCACAAGCTTAAGAGCATTCAGCACCACCAAACTAGCTCTACAACAAATATTAAAGCAACTTTTCTAGATGTAAAAGAAAAGGCCACAACTAGAAATAAGAAAATTATGAAGGGGAAAGCTCACTGGTAAAGGCAAACGTACAGTAAAGGTAGGAAATCACCCCCCTACAAATACGAATTCAAAACCAGCAACTGTGAGAAGAGGAGAGTACAAATGCAGGCTATTGGACATGCATTTGAAATTAAGAGACCAATCTTGTAAGTAGATAAATTGCTATATCAAAAACTTATGGTAACCACAAACCAAA